AACGGATAAGTTATGAGGCAAAGTCTGAATTTTGTTGAAGATAATTTGAAAAAGATTTTCTCAAAATCTTAATTTAGTCAATTTTACAATAAATAGACAATCAAAATTCCGATTCAAATTTAACCGCTAATCTGTATATTTAAAGTCTTTTCAAAAGCCATTAGCAACAATTGAAAGGCAACCAAGAAAAATGGAAATCTAATGATTCCATCAAAATATTCATCAAATATAATATTTTATATAAATTTCCAGTCAATCGGGTCAAAGGCGAGAAAATTTAGACGAAATTTAATGTTGCAAACTTTCAATTTTAAATGAATGGCGTTAAAATTAGACTAAAATCTAGATCCAGATTTCAAGATTACCTTTGATAACATCATTTCCATGAATAAGCTTCCGTTACAGTTTTCCATTGAATGAACAAGTTTCATGATTAAATCATTTAATTCACTGAATCACGACAAGAAGAAAAGTTATTCAAAATTGAATCTCAAATCGCATAGAGCATTTTCAAGGCACAAAAGTGTATAAAGGCCTGAAATACGTTAAACAATGTAAAATACTTGGCAATCATTTATTCATTTGTTACCTCAATTACAGTTGATTATTTTACTTTTGGTCATTTCTAATGGACTTTAAAAGAGTAAATTCATTTGGATAAAGCATTAAGAGCAACAAAAATGCCTTTGTAAGCCATTTTTTTACTGTAAAAATCGGGTCAAAAGCCATTCTCATTGTGATTAAGGTAAAACCGTCAACCATCATCAATACAATAATAAAATGCAAAACACATTCCAGATTAACCTTGATGAATTGAATGAAGGAACCTTAAAGATTTATTGTGAAGACGAACCAAAATTATGAGCGCAAATACAGATCAAGGTAAGAAGGGGATAAAAAAGGTTGACCCTTAAACTTAACCTCTCAAGGCATTAGTATATAAATATAAATGTAATATTAAAATATTTAAAAATTGATAAATGTTGAATGATAAAAGTTAATTTATTGCCAAGCCTTTAATAATCATCTTTTAAATAGCAAGACATTTGAATATTAATATACATTAAATTATGGCGAAAAGCTTTGACTTTGAAAATGTAAGCTTTTTAAATGGAAAAATCATTTCTCCATCAAATGTGGAATGAAATCGGAAGCTGTAATTGGGTTAATTTTTGGCTACATTCATAGATGAACCTTTAATTGGTTCAAGTTGATCTGTTTTTTATATAAATACCTTTTGATGATTCAATTAACAATTTCAACAATTTTTCTGCTTCTTTGATTGATATTTATTCAATGTCAAGTGAACCTTTGATTTAGGAAAATACTCATTCATTGAGAAAATGTTTTTTTGTTCCTGGCAACATGAAATTGAAATCGCCTTCTGTCAATGAACTTGATTTTTGTCATGTTTTTAACGAGTTAACATCATTAACAAGAGAAATGATTGTTTTCATTAACATCTCGATTAAAGGGTTTCTTGCTATTAAATTAATGGTTGATAATGGTTAATGATGAGAGAATCAAATCAATTGAATTTGCCTCTAGCTTTTCACTCTTTTTTTTGTTGCTGTTAAGTTTATAACGTTATTTGGTTCAAAAATAATTAGCCAATTTGAGAAATGAAAATAATCATCTTTTGTCTTCATTTGAAACTTAAATATTAAACTTAAATTATCATCTTTTACCAATTCGTTATTAAAAGGCTAATTAGTGGATAAACAATGTTAAATGTAATTAGATGATGATAATGATAAAGGAATGACTTTAATGTTGAAACCATGAAAATGGGTAAAAATGAGTTTTGCTCAGCTCTTTTTTTTAAGGTAAACTTTTCCATCTCGGCAAAAAATCTAAATCACTCAACATTTCAAAGGCAATTTTTAGCCTTTTACCTTTTAATTGTTACAATTAGATTTTATTTTGTTTGATGGTTCAACTGTTGAACCTTTAAGCAACTTTACTGTTGACTCTTAATTGCTTTACACCATTTCATGGTTAAGGTTGAAGTTAATGACAAATGTTTGGAAATGTCAATTGATTGATAACTTAAAGTTAAATTGTCACAATCGATGACATTCTCACATCATTAAGATTCAATTTGGTTTATGCTTTTGTCCGGCTTTTAATAGCTTTTAATGTTGCTGTGAATTGGACTTTTGTTTTGCGGTCATTTTTAACTCAATTTGTGTTTCCGTGCGTTTAATCAGTTGAAAGTCTTTAATGAATTATAAATTTGGTTGATGCGATTTTTTCGGGCTTTTGTTTAGCTTTTGGTTGTTGCTATGGTCTGGCAATTGAATTCATTAGATGGGCAAAAAAGTAAATGTTTAAATTGAAAATTTAAAGTTGTTAACATTGCAATTGTAACATTAAGTGTAAATAAATGATTATCATGATGGCCTGGTGTTGATTTAATCGGTAAATCTTCATCTTGCTTGATTAATTGACTTTCGTCTTTTGGCTGACATTTTTTGATCAAACAATTTGATACAACTGTTTGACGTGACACTTAATCAATAATGTCAATTGTCTTGCCATATCTTGGTCAGGTTTACTTTTGATTACAATCAAACCTTTAATTTTCAACAGTTGCCTTATGATTGTGTGAGGTTTGGTTAACATGATTATCTTATTTAATTTGGATGGTTTACGGTTTTACATGTTAACTCTTTGCGGGTCTGCATGAAGAATTGAAATGCCTTGAAACCATGATTAGAAATGATTCATGAGAGTTAATTATATGGTGAGGTGACCATTGGAGGTACAAAAGTAAAGCTTGGTGATTTACTTTTAGCATATTAATCAACCCCAATTGTCAAACATATTTCATGATTATTTGGCTGTGATTAAATTCAATTTCAAGAGCAATTTTGGCTGCATCAAATGAGTAAAATTTAAATTTAAATTTGATAATCATCATCAGGTTTGTTTCAAGATTGCTTCTGATGGCTTCTGATTCAACTGTATGGGAAATGTTGTTAATGAGATTTCTCCAAAAACTCTTCATTTTGATCTTTATCATCAGCTATATTCATGATTAAAAGATTAAATCATTCTAATATTGTTCCGTTTGCTTGATAAACAAAACGATTGATTGTTTACTTTCAACGGGCACAAATCAAGATGGTCACTTTTGGCATCAACTATTGTTTGGAATGGCTCTTTTTGGGTATTAAATCCAATTAAATGAGTCTGAACTGCCCTTTCAAAACCCGCATTGCTCATTTCATCGAAAATGTTATTATTATCGGCTTCTATCATGATCATGATACTCTTCTTTTTTGTTTCCAAAATCCAGTGCAAAATACAATCACTCATTGGAATCTCGGTCAACCTAATAGCTTGCAAAGGAAAAAAAGACGTTACTCAAAAGAGCAAGTAACAATCAAAAAATTGTAGAATTGATGAAAACTGGAAATATCTTACCTTTTCATGAACATCATCTCTTTTGGCTTTTTTTGTGCATCAGGCCTTGGGCAAGTCTTCAAGATAACCTTAGGGAACAAACCTGTTCAGTGAATCTTTTAAAGCAAAGTTGAAAGATTAGAACAGGCAAGAACACCCTTTAATAGTTAAATTGAGGCCTATTCAGGGTTAAATTGTCTCAAAACATGTTGAGTTTAACAGTATCAACACTATTAAGAATCCAGGAGGGAGAGAGAGAGAGCCAAATTGTAAGAGCTTAATCAACTTTGATCTTGATTATTTGATTTTTGGCTATTAACCGCAAACATCATGTTAAAAAGTTAACAAGATGATGTTGATTTGCTTTAAGTTGATCCCTTTTATTCCTCAGATGAAAACAATTGGTGCTTTTGTTGCTCTTTAGGTTGATGATGACGATCATGATGATAATGATGATAAAAATTGATGCAATCAAGATTCCCAATTTGCCTTAAAGTTGAAACTACAGTTCCTCAGGATCCAGGCCTAACCCTTGGTTTGATTTGACTGTTGGCCGAACTGATGATTGACAGTTGAACATCAGATAACGTATTCCAATTCAGGTTGTTGAAGATCCTCTCTGTCGTCTCTCCCTATTTACATTAGAAGGAAACAAAGTATTAGAAGAGTTGCAAATTAATTAAAGGGTTTAATAGAGGATATAATGTAAGCTTTCGATTATATTGATTAGTAGAGATTGGCCCAGAAAAAAATAAGTCAAACCTGGTCAGACTTTGATCGACAAACATCTAAATATTATTGAGCAAGTATAATTTTCTTTGATAAATCAACAGCCTCACAAGTAGATTGCCTTCTAGCCTGCCTTGAAGGACACAATAGGCTGTAAATCATGTAAAAAAAGAGACCAATTAATCATAATTATCCAAGAAATGGGGATCATCGTGAAATCAGATAAAAGAGTTGATTTAATAGATTGCCAATTAATATTAGAAGAAACTAAAAAAAGAAACAAAAAGTAAAAGTTACTAGAGCAATTGATTATAGAAAAAAAAACAAAGGCTGGTTGAAGGATTAACCAGGAAGCCGTTAGATATTACTTACTATGAAGAAATCACAAATTGCCACTTTAAATTGGATACTCCATGGAAATGATAATGAAATATAACAAGACTATCGATAATATTTAATCTTGAAGATGCAATATAACTAAATAAAACTGGTTCAAACTAGAGATTAAACTTTGAATTACTTTGTTACAGAAAACTGAAAGTTGTCGATGGAAATAGCTTTGCTCTTTGAGTTAAGACAAAAGAAGACAAAAGAGGGCGGTGAAAAGAGCCACACACTCTATTAGCTAACAAGTTGATCCTTCAATAAAATAAATTAACTAAGAAAGAAATCATTTAATTCCAAGTTAAACTGGATTTACCTCCATTAGAAATGTTGATATTAATAGCGATGATTTGTCTAATCAATGTGGATGGATCAAATGATCAAACAATCAAGCATCTTGGTTAGCTAAAAGTCTTTCCAAGTAACACGTTCAGTTCTCATGTTGAGAGTGTAAGTTGGCAATAGAGTAAAGCCATAGACAAATGCACCAAGATGTAAAACAGTAAGAGGAGTGGATTGAAGATTCAGATAGATTAATTTGCCTTCGATTTGTGTCTTAATTGATCATCAGGGGATTATTGAAGAGAGGAGTGATCGCCATTGTTATTGTTTGTATAGGAGCCAAACCCCTCTGGTTGTTATCTGAAAAAGTTCCGGTAAATCCGCTCCTATTGATAAAAACACAGAGTTAGTATAAATAGTCGGCCTGAAGTGCTTGTTTATTTATCATTAACAGTTGAATGATACTTGCTAATGATTTACAATTTATAAAGTTTAACAGCTTTAAATTTTGCAAACCGTTTGTTACAGTTCATTCAT